ATCAGAAACTATTTTAAGGAATTATTAATTTTGGTGGGTGACAAAATGTGGTTGTCTTTCTAAAATGTTATATTTTAGAGAAGCAAAAGGAAGTGTTTACAGATTAAATGATATCCTAAGACTTGCTTTAAGATACCCCAGTAAAATAAAAAAGGGGGGAAACTTCCATTTTCAGGAAGACAGAGTAGATGGGGTGGGACCAGGAGAGAAATGGATGTGGTTATGAAAAGGCAGCATGAGGGATACTTGTAGCAGCTGTTCTGTATCTTGACTAAGTCAATGGTAACATCTGGTTGTGATGTACTGTACTGTGATTTTGCAAGAAATCACAATGGGGGGGGCGGGGATTTGTAAAGGGTACACAGAATCTCTCTGTATTATTTCTTACGACTGCCTGTGAATCTCAAAATAGAAAAAAATGATTAAGGAAAAGAAATTATGGTGTGGTACAGGAATATATGAAACAATAATGGTAGAAAAGTTCATGCTACAGAAGAATCTATATATATAAAAGGCTAAGTGTCCATCTAACTGGTAGCTATGATGCGTACTGACCACCAGGGGGCAAACTCTCAATGCAGGAGCTGCCATGACACGCACTGGCCATTTAAAAATAATAAAAGGCTAATATGCAAATTGACTGGCTGCTGGAACAACTGGTTGCTGACGCACACTGACCACCTGGGGGCAGATGCTCAACACAGGAGCTGCCCCCTGGTGGTTAGTGTGCTCCCACAGGGGGAGCACCACTCAGCCAGAAGCGCAGTGGCAGGAGCTTCTCTCCACAGCAGCTGGACAGCACTAAGGATGTCTGACTGCAGGGTTAGGCCCGCTCTAGGCCGGGTTGAGGGATCCCTCCTGAGTGCATGAATTTCGTGCACTGGGCCTCTAGTTCATTATAATCTTCTCTCTCTCTCTTCACTTGCTTAAAATTTCCCATAACAAAAATATTTTTAAAGTTTAGTAAAGGAAACTTACAATTTCCCTGCAAAGTGGTATTATCTTCTGATTTTCCTAACTGGTCTATCTCCAGTCTTCCAAAATCGGATACCACCAGGTTATCCTACACACTCTTGCTAGTTGTTTCCTTCTAAAATATAATTTTTCCTCTATTACTCTGTTGCTTAAAAGGATAAAGTTCACATGTATAAAAAATGCTCTGCCAGGTAGGCCTTAGCAAACACATACCCCTATCCTACATACACCCTGCATAAACCTTCCACTATAGTCAAGCTATTCTCATAATCCCATGAATATAATTTTGGGCCCAATACCCTTGCTCATGCCTATCTCCTGCCTATTATTTCCTCTCTGCTCCACTGATCTAGATCCCACCTATCTTTAAGAGGCAGCATAAAAGCCACCTCCTCTATGAAGTTCTCCGTGATCTTTTCTTAAGATAACTACATGGTTATTCAGAGCAAAGATCATGTATTGCATCACAATGCCCAGTAGCCTTCCTGATACCATTGAGGTTTTTGATGTTGATTTAACTGAATATTTAATATAAAGCTCTTGGAGAGATTTAGTAAATATTAGGGGAAAAACAAAAGTAAAAATATAAAAGAGATCTTAAAATAATACAAAATTGGAAATCAGTACACTTGAATTTCAGACAGTACAAAGTTGTGTATAACACCTTGGGCAACTCATTTAACGTCTCTTAGCCTTTGGATCTAAAATGTAAAATGAAAGGACTAGAGGCCCCATATTTTAATGTGTAGAAACGGTACTTGTCTCTGGAAAAGATTTCCCAAGGGCTTCTTCCATGGATTATGACTTGGAAAGATTACTACCAAATGTTACTCATCAGCAGAGACTAAACTTCATGTAAAGCACACAAAGCAAAACAGTGTCCCTGATCCAACAGTTTTTAAATAAAAAACTGAGTCAATGGGAATAAATTGCATGATGATTTTGGAGCCCGCTTGAAAAAGGATGGCCACATCATTTAGAGATATTATACTCAGTAAGACTTCCTAAGGTTCCTGCACCCTAGGGAGGTATAACCTTCTCCCTGTGGCATTGAAAATCATCCCAGAACTTGGAGCTACTGTCTAAGATGTATAGCACAAAGGTAGGAAACTTCCTATCAAAGATTCTGACCTTAGGAAAAACCACCAAGGTTTCCCAGAATTGAAGCAGAGACCCTCTTGGAAGAAAGTACAATGAGGACTGAATGCAATGTGAGATTATGCACTAAGAGGCTAAGTTCTACTTTGCCTTAAGTGAGGAGTGTTGCTCTCTAAGCAGATCCTGTGTGTTTAGGAAGGTCACGCCCCACAGTCTGCTGTTCAGGTTGGAAGTGGTGGTGATCTCACCCAAACAAGGAAGCCTGCACAGTTTGCCCTCACATTCACTCCCTGGGGGTGCCCAGGATGGAAGAGAAGAGAGGTGCACAAGATTCAGCTACAGCCACCACTAGTACTTAAGCAACTCAGGAGAGAACCCAAAGAGAATATCATTTCATGGTATTACATGGATGGGAAGGAAACAGTCCTGCTGTGGAGTCTGATTTCTTTAGAAGAGGAGGCTGGATCCATGAGAGAGCCCAACGCAGTCAGGTGATGGGCTAATGGGATGAACTGGGGAAGCTGAGCATGGGACCGAGGGGATGAATGAGCAGAGATCGTAGAAACCCAAAGACTAGTCAGAGGGAGAAAAGCAAGAAGCAACAGTTACTGTTTCTCTGCACTGGCCCAGCAGCACCAGGGTCCCTGCAGTTACCTGAGGTTTCTTCACCTTAATGATCCAGGTGGGAGGGACAATAACAGCAGCATGAGCTCCCAGGGAGCAGGGTTCCTCAATTTGATGCAGCATAAAGCAGGTCACCTTATTGTGAAACTAAAGAGAAAACAGGCCAATAAATAATTCTGTGCAAAAGGCAAGGCTGCAGTGAGAAGAAGTAAGTACATGGGTACATGCTCATGCATGCACATGCAAACACAAACACACACACACACACAAACATCACATGCTTCTCATCAACCAGCCCCAGGCACTCAGAGACCATTGCAAACACACACACACACACACACACACACACAAACATCACATGCTTTTCATCAACCAGCCCCAGGCGCTCAGAGACCATATTTAGAATTCATTTCCCTTTATAAAATGATAACAAAAAAAATCAATCTTATAGGACAGGTCAGCTAAAACTTTATAACCTTGTTTTTGTTTTTAGTGCCTCACTTTTATTTTATTTTCTAAATTTGTATTGAATTTATTGGAGTGACACTGATTAATAAAATAATGTAAGTTTCAGGTGCACAATACTGTAATATATCATCTGTATATTGTATTGTGTGTTCACCACCCAAAGTCAAGTCTCCTCCCATCATTATTTAGCTCCCCTACCCTCTCTTACTCTGGTAATCACCATACAATTGTCTGTGTCTATGAGTTTTGTTTAATAGGATATTTACCTAAAGATGTTAGTCTTGGAGGTGTGGATGAAAAAAATGGCCACATACTAAATCTGACCAGCTCGGGGAAGCCAGCTCTACAAAGTCAGAGACTGAAGGTAACCACACAGGATGGTCTGAACATAAAAATTCCTAACTAAAAGCAAGTCATGGTGAGTAGTCACGTCCTAGGCTTCAGCTTCCTTGACAAAGGTCAGTTTTTACCTAAGTGAGCCTGTCTATTGTCCTTTCGCCTCTCAGATAACAAACCTTTGAAATGTCAGAGTAATCTCTTTTTCCAGACCCCTCAGGGCACACCCACCACAACAGAGGCCACAGAAATCCTCACTGTATCTTGTTTCCTACATACCATCTCTATGTGCAATAAATGTTAATTATTAACTATCCTGTACCCACCAATATAAAAGAAGTGTGTGTTTCTCTACTTTGCCTTTTTGTACAATTTCAGAGATTTCCCAGCTTTGCTTTCCCCTGCCCCCTTAATCTACCACCCATTTCATGTACCCCTCCTGTCTCTTCCTTTGATTCTAATGTATAAAATAAGCTGTAATACTGCTATTCTCTGGAGCATTTTCTCTATCTGTTGAGATTTTGTTTCTCAGCAATTGTCATCAGTTTGGCTCAAAGAAAACTCATATAAGAGTTCTCTACAGCCCTGACCGGTTTGGCTCAGTGGATAGAGTGTTGGCCTGTGGACTGAAGAGTCCCAGGTTCGATTCCGGTCAAGGGCATGTACCTTGGTTGCGGGCACATCCCCAGTGGGAGGTATGCAGGAGGCAGCTGATTGATGTTTCTCTCTCATAGATGTTTCTAACTCTCTATCCCTCTCCCTTCCTCTCTGTAAAAAATCAGTAAAATATATTAAAAAAAGAAAAGTTCTCTATAGGTTCGAAATGTTTCTTATATTAACTGAGGGTTCTATTAATCCTAACTTGGCCGTAACTTTGTTTCATTGGACTTGCACTTGGTTAATTTGGGATAATGTTGAAAAGGAAATGAAGATGAGCAGAAAGGAGGTGCCTAACATCTGTCTCTCTTTTTTCTACCCACAGATGGAAATCCTTCTCAGATAGGTCTTCCAGTATAAGGGACCCAGGAAAGAAGCAAGAGCTGTTAGTCCAAGAGGCAACAATGAACAAAGAGATTGCTTCTGCTGGGTTTGTGAGGGCTGCTAAGAAGTATAATGGTCCCATTACACTTGGCAAGTCTAGAGTGCTTTTTGTTTTTGAAAGGAAGGAAGTAAATGTAGACTAACAATGCTTTAGAGGCTTAAATCTATCCCCAAATAGATTGAGTGACCTTAGGCCAATTACACTTTCAATCATCTTTTGTGAGGCTGTAAAGGGATAATGAAGTGTGGTGACATCTGTTTTCTAATAAACATAAAATCACATTATAAGCCTTAAAGTTTTAATTATAGTGATTTTCTTAAAAATTTGACATGCTTTCTACTTGGATTCTATTTAATGTGACCACATAATTTATCATCTTCACTGAAACAATTTTAAGAGTGAAAGGGAGTACTGTCAATAATTATCTTGGAACAAAAGATGTAAATTAAGACTGTCTCAAGGAAACTGGAAAATATGGCCACCCCAATTATACCCCATCAGGCAGGTTTTGTCTTCATTTCTGCGTATCTTCACGATCTGACGTGATCCAGAGACTAACTACTAAATCAGTTAATTAAGTATGGAATACAGCTTTATAATTCCCCCAACCACCAGTTATTTGTGATCCGAAAACAATTTGATATACCAGAGAAATGTTATTTGAATATCTTTTTTTAAAGGTGATTTCTTCATGGGATGTTGATAGTGGGGAATGTGTGATGGTGTAAGGAGAGGAAATATATGGAAAAATCTCCCTACTTTCACCTCAATTTTGCTGTGAACCTAAAACCGTTATGAATAATAAAGTTTATTTCTTTTAAAAAATGTTTTAAATATTTAAATAATTTTGTTAAAAGATTCATTAATGAATGCTAAAATCAGTCGGCAAAAGTTTGAGGAGAAATATATCAGCATAATCTCAAAATATCTCCCCCAAATATTTATCAATTGGAAAGGGATATAGCAAATGCCACCTTAATCAAGTGATCAAGGTTAATATCATCAGTAATAAAACATTGACATTATGCCCTCTGAATAAGATGCAGGGAGGACATCCCATCCCTTCTCTCATACCTCGCCTAAAATGAATAAATTCAATCTAATCATGAGAAAACATAAGGCAAACTCAGTTTGGGAGACATTCCACATAATAACCAGTCAGTGCTCACTAAATGTGCCAAGGTCATGAAAGACAGAAAGAACAAGGAAATGTCAAGAATTCCACAGCTAAATGAACTGTGGGATCCTTAAATAGATCCTGGGACATTAAGAAAACAACTAGTGAATGTTTTAAAAATCTGTAGCTTAGTTATTAGTAATATATCAATATTTACTGATTTTATTCATTGTACTATGGTTATGTAAGTTGTCAAAATTAGAGGGAGTTAGAGGAAGCTGGATGAAAGTGTATACATTCATGTTATACACTTTGCAACTTTTTGCAACTTTTCTTAAATTTAAAATTCTCTCAAATTAAGAAAAAATTGTAAGTGATTCTCTTTTAGAAATTCAAATAAACTCCCAAATGAATGGCCACAACATTTCTAAAATAGAAGGGATCTCAGAATCTGCCTATTTCAACTCTCTGACTGTACATCTGAGTAACTGCCAATCTAGAGAGAATAAGAAGAGTCCAAAAGTGGTAATGTGAGGACCTGAATCCAGGAAACCCAGCTCCCAATCCCAGTTTTTTCCCCCTGATGTAGTAAGTGCCCATAGAGGACATTACTTGTTTGACATAGATATTCTAGAAGGGATTACCTGTAGTGCTAAAATATACCCCCACCACAATTTGTCTTAAAAAGGTATTGCAAAATCACCTCCTCTATGTGTGATCCTGGGAAACCCAAAAGTATGTGGAATTAAGCACAGCTCTGTCACAAGGGTCAAATGAAAGTCATCTTTGTAGTGATTTAGTTGGACTACTGATCAATGAAGAGAGAGCACATGTGTTCACTAGAAAGTGGGACTAAGTTCCCAATTCACTGAATGTGTACAGAACATCTAACCACAGCCTGAGACCTCTGGGGGCAAGAATAGATGCTGCCTAGCTGAGCCCGTGGCCACCAATGATGCTGTCCCCCAATGGGGTTTTACCAGATCAGGGAAACCAGCAACACAAGTATTGTTGGACACCTGGACCCTGAATCTGCTTCTTCCACTCCAGATGGAGATATTGCCTTGATGGAACAGTTCCAATCAAGAACTAGGATGGCCTTGTATTTGTGAATGTGTTCTTGAATTGAAGCACAAGGACTATTTCGGTAACAATTAACTAAAGGAGATGGAAATGCCAAGCACTGAGCTGCTCAAACCAATGCATCTCTACGTAACAGCAGTAGGCTCTCCTGACAAGTGGGGGCCTAGGGAAATACAATACATAGATGGATGAGCATGGCTGTGTCTCAATCAAACTTTATTTACAAAAGCAGGCAGTAGTCAGAGTTGGCCTATGAGCCATAGTTTGCCAACCCATGAGTTAGAGTGTATATACATTGTCTGCTTAAAGAAAGAACAGGTACACAGGCAAACAAGTAGGAAAATGAACCATCTGGTTGGGACAGAGGGGCTTTTAAAAAAGGATAGATCAGTGATGGCAAACCTATGACATGCGTGTCAGAGGTGACATGCGAACTCATTTTTTTGGTTGATTTTTCTTTGTTAAATGGCATTTAAATATATAAAATACATATCAAAATATAAATCTTTGTTTTACTATGGCTGCAAATATCAAAAAATTTCTATATGTGACACAGCACCAGAGTTAAGTCAGGGTTTTTCAAAATGCTGACACGCCGAGCTCAAAAGGTTCGCCATCACTGGGATAGATTAAAAAAGAAGAAAAGTAAATAAAAATTTACTGCTGGATTCAAATGAGTATATATGTTCAAGTGTAAGGAAGAGTTACATTTCAATGAGCATGCAGACAACTGTAACATTGAAATTTAAAAGATACAAAACCACTCTTATTCTAACATAGCCCTCCCCCCCCCCCCATACACACAAAATGGTGCCTACATAAAAAAAAAAAAAGAAGAACCAAGATGCCGAGACTGCCATGTTAGAAGGATTACCTAATGTTGCAAGTTGCTTTCTTCCTAATGGTGCAACTTCCTACCATAGGAAAAGTTGTCAACAACCTAGTGTAACTGGAAAAAATATATATATGGTCTAAGAGGGAGAAGTCCTTGATTCTACTAGACCCAGGGTCAGAACCAGGGAAGAATTCTCCAGTCTCTGATCCCAGAATTCAATGTGTATAAATGAAGGGGTTAATTCATCTCTATAGTTTCTTCCAGCTCATATGTGCTATAATTCTATAGTTTTAAATGTCTTTCTTCCTCCAACGATCCTATGTGAGGAAAACAATACATACATTGGATGACCTTCCACTTACAGACAGGAATTCAAGCAATGACCTAAGTGTAAATAGAAGGGAGAGGGATAGAAAGTTAGAAACATCGATGAGAGAAACATCGATCAGCTGCCTCCTGCACACTCCCCACCGGGGATGTGCCCGCAACCAAGGTACATGCCCTTGACCGGAATCGAACCTGGGACCCTTGAGTCTGCAGGCTGACACTCTATCCACTGAGCCAAACCGGTTAGGGTGACCTAAGTCTATTTTTATAGAACATGAGCCCACTTTGTTTTATTCCATCTCCCAACTTACCGCCTGCTTGCACCAGGAACAGCTGATAGCCACAATCTCTTTACTGTGGAAGGAGAATTTCTGCTGAAAGCCCTGGGGTGTTAGGACAAGAGATAGAAAATTTAAAACCACTTCAATCACAGTGTGCATCTGCCCTCCTGAAGTCCAAGGAAGTGAACAGAGACAGAACTGACCCCACCACTCAAGGTAACTGGGACACGTTCAGCACTTACATTCTCCACCCTCTGCCATGCAAAAGTTTCCTATTCCCAAGTCATCTGACTGTTAGAGAGGAGGTACCAGTATCTGCTGTACCACTAAGTACTCAAAATTATCAAAGTCACACACACACACACACACACACACACACACACACACACAGAAAATTGCATTTTCCCAAAATAGAATGTGGTTCTGATAGTAAAAACAAAAGAAAAGTCACAATTGGTTCACATGGTTCTCTATAACAACAGTCATCCATCTCAGAAGTTCTAACAACTTCAACATCTGAGAACCCACATGGAGAGAAATAAAGGATCAGAGAGTTAGGACCCAGAAGTGAGGATGTGGGAGAAGTCCCAGGGTGCAGAAAGAAATTCAACGACTTTCATCATCCCTTTGGGGTGTTGGGACTCAAAACAAGCAGCTTTCTATGTTATTCTTCACCAGCAATCAGCAATGAGATTAATGGAATGGCAAACTCAATCCTCTTAAATGAGTAAACGGAAGAACAGAAGAGGTGTTTTTTGGCTGCTCTCCCTACATAATGACCAGAGAGAAGCATGCAGTAATGCTCAAAGGGTGATTTTAGCCTTCCCCAGGCTCATCTATTCTATCTGCCTGTGAAATCTAAACCCCAAAAAATGAATTCAGAGCAACGATGGAACATTTTTCAAAGAGGGCTTTTGTCAAGTGATCAAAAGAAAATGTGACAGGCAGAAAAGCTACCAAGGCACTGGCTGAAGAAGTCTTGCTTAATGTCTACAGATAATTTTAACTTAAAAAATTAATTCACATTAAAAGAACTCTCATTCTAAACCATAGGCCTAACCACTTGTACCTGCCCATAGCATTAGTGAATAGTTCCTTAAGTTGTTATTTTATGTGCACATGTATTATCTGTCCAGTGAAATTATTGCTTTTTTGAAAGAAGTCCCTGTAATGGTTCTTAAACAGGTCCCCACAACTTAGCTGAGCTCTGTGAACTTCATACACATGGCATGCATGTCTTCGGATTAATTGAACAAAGTCATTGCTAGCACATCATGATGCAATTACCAACTTCATGCTCTCTAGACTTTAAACACCTAACCCAAACCACATAGAAATATGCTTCCTCACATCACTCTCCTCCAACCACTAAGACACTGCAAATATGCTAGCATTTTAATTTCATTCAGTCTGCAATACAAACATGCCACGTGGTTGGAAATCTATAGGGTGGGCTGTTGGCATGATAGCAGCCGAAGCCACAACTAGAGGTCTATTGAATGTTGCTGTATCAAATGTATTGTTAAGCAGCATCTCAAATGCTATTACCCAGCCACCACTTCATCAATTCATACATCAGATGATTGTACATCAAATAGATGCTGATAGAGAGATGGCACTGGATCTTGTTATTGGCTGGGGGAATCTTAAACCTTCTCATTTTTCTCTTCACCTGAAAATAGTAATTATACTACAAACCTCTCCCATACCACTAAGTAGTTATGAGATTCAAATGGGGTAATGTACTTGCAAAGTTCTTCATAATGCAGTATATAAATGAAGGAGTCCTTTGATTGCTAAGACCTATCAACAGGAATGTCTTCCATCACCTGGCTGACAAAGTCCTCCAGGGTCTAATATGTGACTAGCCATGCTCTATTTGACGGTACAGAGAGAGTGTATTAGCTTACCCTTCTACTGGCCTCTGGTTTCAGGGAAACACAGATACAGTCCTGACACCAAGGCGGATACCAGAAACAAACAAGGCCAGCCACAGCTGGGGCACAGGGCTCTGTTGGGTCCCTTGCAGACGAATCTGGTGGTAATCAGCTCTGTGCTTTGTTTTGGATTCTAATCTGGCTGAGTCACAGAGGCCCTAGCTTCAGGGTTATTGTCCAACACAGAGACATAAATAGAACCCTATTGGGGCTTTCATGGGCCAAGTTCCCACAGGCCATCTGCAATGGGGAGATTTTGGCAGGGATCTCAATACAGCAAAAAGAGCAGGTTCCTAATTACCCATTTGTAAATGCTGGCCCACACTTGATATTATGGGACTGACAGATGCCCTAACCGAATTTCAACTGACTCTATGATTTTTAAGGGCTATATTGTTCATCACTATCAGAGAAGAAAATAGGGATGCGAAGTCAGATCCAACTGACTTCAGAATTACAAATACAAAGAACCTAGAGAGATATTTTGGGGGGGGGGGTTGAGTTTTTTTTAGTGCAATGGAGCTCTGAAATAAAGTATAAACAACATTTATTCTTGGCAGCTAAAGCTTTGTTGCCTCTTTTCCTTCTGTAATCTAGGGCATGTACCAAATGACACTCAGATTACAGCCTTGGCTGGAACTAGAAAAAAAAAGGGCTTTACTTGAAACAAACCAAAATTATTTTACTGCTTATGGTTGTAACTGAGGTTTAGGCGAGAGAATCTCTTGACCATAGCCTGACTGCCTGTTTGAGTTAATGTTGTTTAAAACAAGAGTTGATGCCGCTCTTGACTCCAAAACTTTAAACAACACATAACTAAACCTCTCCATTTTTATTCACACGTTCAAAGCTCAAAAGTGTTACAAAGAAAATACCCAAGGGAATCAACATTTATCTTAACACAGAGAACTTCAGACATTTTTGCTCAAATGTTCTATAATTTTAAATATAAACATATATATATTTTCACACACTTTACATTTTAATATCTAATAGGTTCACCATAAGTTTAAATTAGATGCAAAGTTCATTCTGTCTGGCAAAATTAAATTGAAGTTTTAAAATAAAACTATTACACCACTCTTGTAAACGTATCCAATGGGATATAACATGATAGCAACTAGATACTCACTAAAGTAAAAGGAAATTTTTCTGATCAGATCAAACCTTTGCTAGAAGACCTCAAACCATTCGAACTATTTCAGTGCAATGGGCTTTAGCCAACTAAAGCTGACAAACCATGACGTTTGAGCATCCCACAGCTGAAGCACAGATTCATACCAACCCAACTAAAAACTTTCCCTGACTAATCAAAAATGGCACTCATTTTGCCCAACTATCTACAGACTTACGGACTAACTCTGTCCTATCCAGAATTAGTTAAGGGTTCAACCTTCAGTCTTTAGTGAGCAAAGCCACCATGAACCAATCTCTTTCCCAGTCCAGACAAATGATTGACTTTTTCCCCTCGACAGACTCTTCAGTACAGTTTCGCACTGATAGGTGTGCTCTTACCTGGAATTGTGAATCTCTGTACATTAGGCTAGTTTTACAATATGCCTAGTCCTTAGTTTTATCACAGAGTTAAAATGGTAGCATTAATATTTTAGTTTATACAGATTAGGGTTTATTTACTTTCATAAAAATCCAATTTACCTGTTATTTCTAAGTTTCCTATACAGAATTTACTGGCCTTAAGCTAAAATTTTGCTAAACATTCAATATTTTCAAATTGTAAACATGTGTGGTCATCTAAATTGAATTATAAAAAAGAATGTATTCATGAATGAAATTCATTTAATTTTTAGGATATATATATATATTTTTTATTTTATTGATTTCAGAGAGAGAAAGTGAGGGGAGAGAGAAATATCAGTGATGAGAGAATTATTGATCCGCTGCTTCCTGCACGCCCCTTACTGAGGATAGAACCTGCAACCCGGGCATGTGCCCTTGACCAGAATTGAACCCGGGACCCTTCAGTCCACAGGCCGACACTCTATCTACTGAGCAAACTGGCTAGGATCATGAATGAAATTTAAATAAGCAATGTCTTTATAACTTATGACAAATCCACAGATGCAACAACTGAAATTATGTGATTCTATAGTTAGGTTATGAGAATTGTCTTTGAAAAATCTAAATTATCTATTGGGTTTAATTGTAATATAGTTTAGGGCATTAATTAAAGGCTCTGAATATTTATCAATGCCCTTATTGTTCATAACATTCTCTCACTCCAGGGTAATCACTGATTTACACACACGGACTGACATTCATTATTCTTCATTACAGCATTCTGTTATCTTCCATTCTAATGTTGTTGGTAATTACAATACACTCCTTAGAGCCAGTCAGTCTTATTATCCTCAGATAGTTTCAGCTTTTTCATTAATTTATCTGAAGACCCCTGCTACAAGCTACAGATCATAAGTAGAGTCTCCAGGAAGAGGGCACAGGCCTCTCTGTGTAAATTCACTCCATTACCACAAACTTGTCAGGCTGTATGAAGAGCCTCAGACATGATTTCCAGTCATTTTTTATTTTTGAGGCAGATGACTTCATGGAAGTACATAGCTTAACCCAGGATTTTGGAATTAAGGTATAATTGAAATTAAGCTTGTAATAATGGCTACAAATTTACATTTTATATTACATGTTAACCATTTGTAACTGTGATGCTTACATTCATATTTTATGACTGTCATGATTCTAGGGCAAAAATGCTTTATACGAATACTTGTGTCATATTTAATATGGCCCAAACTGCATACAACACTTTAACTGTTGGGTTAATATCTTTGTCCTAAAATGCCATCCATGGCACAATGGGCTCGTATGTGCAGTAGCCATGATGGCAGTGATGAATGCTATGTTTGGGTCCAAAAGCATGGGCTCCTACTTACCAAAACTGAGCTAGCCACTACCACTGCTGACTGTGTAACCTTCCAGCAAAAGACACAACGAAGCTGAGCACCCAATATAGCACCATCCCTCAAACACACCATCAGCTACTTGATGGCGAACTGATTACACTCACCCCCTTCTATTATGGAAGCGGCAGCAACTCATCCTGACTGGAATCAACACATATTCCGGGTTTGGGTTTACCATTCCCTTTTGCAGGGTCTCAGTCAGCACCACTATGCGAGTGTTTACAGAGTG